ATTTTGCATAAGTAATGTATATGATTTAAAAAAATCATTTCAGAACCTCAAAATATTAGCTTAAGCCTTTTTGCTCAACTTTCAACCTCATCAAATTTTTCCCTGGAATTTCTAGGGAACAATCCCTAGTATTTACCACCTTAAGCCGTATAACTTTCTTATTACGTTTGTTGATATTTTTTTTTTATTTTCGCTATATACGCTCATATATTTAGATATGTGCAAATATTTACCTTATTGAGATATAAACTTAATAACTTACTGAGATATAAACTATAATAACTTTCTGAGATATAAACTTAATAATAAAACTATTTAGATTAGATAATTTATATTTACAAAGAAGAAAGCCTTTTTTCTATTCTTTTATTTTGTATTCAAAATTTTCATAACGAAAGAAAAACGGTACCCTATTGATTTAGTTTTTTCATCATCAAAACAACAGATTTTATGTATTTATGTATTATGTAGTTTATGATTATCTTTTATTTTTATGTATTAACATACATAAAAATAAAAAACTCTATTTTTTGAAAACTTTTCAACATGTCATTAACCAAACCTCCACGTTTTGCAAATTTCTTAGTTTTGATAATTTCTAAATCGGCACTTATGAACTTATTGGAAAATCACATTTTTTATTCATGCTTTTGACATAGGCGTAGAACGCGGTGGAGCTTGGGGGCTCAAGCCCCATTCAGAAATTCGTTGCTGGGGCTTTGCCCCACCCGAGAAAATTCATTAAACTTTCAAAAATATTAAAAAAATAAAAACCATAATATGATTAAACATTAACAAATATAACAATATAAAAACGATTGTAATATTTCCGCAAATACCTATGGTGATTTTCAAAAGTTAAAACTTTCAAAAGTTTAAGTTATTTTTCGAATTTCAGAAATTCCACGCTTCTGGTGAATCTCAAGGGAGTTTGAGATCGGTAAAAACGTAACCATAAACAAATTAACGGAACTACGTAAACTAAAAAAACTTGCGTGAGTTAAACGTCCGTTTAGTATATTTTTTCTTTGATAACTTTGGCAGTATTATTTGTATTAATTATTTATAAGTTTTGAATTGAAAATTATTTGAATTGAAAAAACGTAAGTTTTTGAAGAAATTTTTTAATTGCTAATAACTTCGAAGATACTACTCATGAAAGTTTATCATTTGTTCAGCCAGATGATGCAACTGATTCAACCGCAGTTGTTGAGTCGCCGTCTTTTACATAGGAGCTTGGATCTTGTTGTTTAAGACAGTATGATCAGCAACACAGGAATCGATCGTTATCCAGCAGGTTAATCATCACCAAAAGAAAGAAATGATGGATAATCGTACGGCTTTATCAAAAATATTTACAACACTTTATTTAGTAATTCCTCATTTTAGTTAAATTTATTTACTTGATAACTAAATGTATTAGGGAACGCAAGGCGTTGCCACTCATGGAAAGGTTGAAAACAATTCAAATTTTTGCATGCTACTCAAACTACAAGCAGACGATTCTCTGGAACTGAAGAAATGGTTAAATCTGAAAAGCAAAAGTGGCTCTCGCTTGAAATTGAAAACGAAATCCTACAAGACTTTGCTCATGCAACGCTTCGTTAGCTATGCAAAAGTATAAAGGAATTACAATTCTAAAGTTTAAAGGCCGATGAAACAACAGAAATGTCTGCAAAAGAACAAAGTTTGATCTGCATTCGGCGTGTTAAAGAACCATTTAATATTGAGGAGTATTTATAGGATTTTACTAAACCAATAACATCAAGAGCGCAACTTTGTTAAACTGTTGATGGACATTTTGTGTTGATTTAGCCTGTTGATTTAAAATTATCGGTGCCAATGCTTTGACGGATTGTCTAACATGTCAGAAGTATCTATCGATTGCAGACTTTAATAAGGGGGAAAGAAAAGCGGGTAATTTACGTGCTCTGCCGCACTCATAATCTCAATTTGGTAGCACAAGATTCTGTTGAAAATCAAACTGAGATCAGGAATATTATGAATTTAGTGCAGTCATTCATTGCCTTTGCTCGTGGATCTCCAAAACGACTGGCATGTTTAAATAAATTTCGAAATGTAGAGGATGTAGAAAACGGAACATTACTGCGGCCCATTTGCCCCACTCGATGGATCCTTAGAAAACCATTAAATCTATTAAGAATAAGTATTCCGCCAACATCAACTGGTTAGAGGATTTTGAGAATCATTCTGATAATTCAGCTAAAAATATGTTAGAAGCAACGGGTCATCTAGAATCTTTTTGTAGGTTTGACACATTTTTCAAATCGGAAACTTTGCACATGATCTTCACGATAATCACGAGGATGCTAATGCAACACTCCAAGGTAAATATTGTTTTATTGCATAGCATTTTTTTTTTTAAATATATTATTTTAAGTAAATTACAATGTTAAACGTTTATTGAAAATCATTTTAAGTATGCAGCTTAATTTTTTGCAAAGCAAGAAATACCATCAACACACTTAAGGAGGTATTTAAAGAAGCCGGTTGTGATACTTGCTTCAAAGTCTTATAGGATGCAGACGTTGTAGCAGCAAAATGTAGTTTACTTGATAAACCAAAGATGCCACGAAAACGTAATGTTACATCAAAATTTACTGGAAGTGGAGTTCCATACTTTGCTACGATTCCAGAAGACCACTACCGCCAGCTTTTCTATGCATCTCTGGATTGTGTTAAAACAGGATTCGCAACCCGTTTCGAACCGACTGAGACCACTAAGCATTAAGTAAATGTAAAAATATATTCATTG